TTTATATACTGCAATTATTAGACATTTATACAGCAAGGGAGAAAACTATTACTGTAAAAATTACATATTACGGCACACAATGAAATATTGATTCTTTTTCACTTGAAACAGTCTTTATTTTGGGCTCCGCCTCGTGTGTTATTTCATTTCACGGGCTCCTAGTCCTAGTATGCACTATTACCCTGAGAGACATGCGATTTTTTTCTAATACCAAACCAACATAATAATGTAATTTTTCACCTCTATGCATTATCATTATTATCATTATTATTATTATTATTATTATTATTATTATTATTATTATTATTATTATTATTATTATTATTATTATTATTATTATTATTATTATTATTATTATTATTATTATTATTATTATTATTATTATTATTATTATTATTATTCATCGATTGCACAACCATTCTTTCCTTTGCAGAAAACAAAATAAAATGATCATTTTTCATATAATGGTAGAGTGACTATGACATGAAAAGTCTCATAAAAATAGGGTAGGTGGGACAGTGATTGCAACAAGCCAATGTTATATACCAAAAATGTTCGTTAATGCTTGTAGTTTATGAGACCACCAGCATAAATTGGCATAAATGATGGCATTCAGAGAAAATCCAAGATGGCCGCCAAGATGGCCGCTTTTGATACTGAACTTCACCCTTAACTTTACATGGCTAAAATTTTGCATATAATTGGATACATTTTTAATATTTATAACATATTTCAAGTCACTGTAAGGACTGTACAAAGATAAACATATCATTTAAAACAAATTTTCATGCATGATTTGTATTTTCTTATAAAGATTTGTTGATAAAAAATAGAAGTTTTCGCAAGAAAGTTTGCTTTTAGCAGTGGGTTAACAATAATTGTTCTGCAGGAATTTTATGTTATTCTACCAAATGAAGATTTTGGATATGAATGGAAGCTCACATTTGATATTCATTGCTATAATCGACTGTTAACGTTGTTTTTCTTTCGTAGAACATGATAGAATATAAAAATAAAACGCACGTTGGTATTTTCATGGCAAATATATTTTTTCCAGTTAAATAAAGAAAAGTTTATTTAATTTTCAAAGATATGCATTCTTTTGGATCATTTTAGAATGCATAATTTATGAAAAGAAATGTTAAGTTTATCAACTCTTTTCCATCTTGACCTCTTTTCTATATTTTAGCAGTTATATTTGCATGTGTACCCACCCCCCCCCCCCAATAAAATGGAGCATAGGGCTGAACACGGGTACACTAAACGTATGATATAGTCTTTTATATGTTAAAAAGACCCTTCATCATTTCATTACGGGTAACCAAGTAATTATTATTATTCATATTTTGGAAAATTATATTTTTTGTCATGTTCTGAATAAATTGTTTTACGTAAGGAGTACTTTAATCACTGTCTTAGATTACTTGTGACGGGTTCCTTACCAATTTTACATGCATGGGGTATGGCAAGGAAATCAGTATGCAACATCAATACTTTTTGCCCTTCTTGTTTTCTTCCGTTTAAAACAATATATTCAAGATTCGGGCATATTTGCTGTAAGAGAATTACAGATTTACAGTTTGAGTTAAGAAGGCAAGTTTGTTGCTAAACTAAGTAATGGGTGTTTTCATTCTGTACAGTTTGACTATATCCTTGAAGTCACGGAAAAATAAAGCACTGGAATCCTCTGGAAGCATTAAAGGTCTAAACCCATAATTACTGTTTGCTCTCTCTCACTGGTTTCTTGCAAGGCCATTAATTGCTAAGTATGCTAATACTTATGCACATGCTTCGTGTATAGCCGACTGTTTTATTTTTGATGCTACTGCACCATGGCCGTTGTTCAGCTGCTGCAGCCTCAGTCAAGGATTAAAGACAACATACCAGATGTAGGCTTTATCGTTTCTGATAAATTGCAGACATTTTGTCACATAGTCAAAGTGCACTGCACATAACTGAGTTATTGTCAGATCTATTTTAGAAAGCCTTAAAAACAAACACCCATAAAACCGAGGTGAAAAATATTTCGCTTTCCAGCCAGTTGTAATTTCAGCCAAATATCCAAAAGAAACAAAGAATTTGCAACAGAGATACCAATGTTTCCCTGCCTCAGGAAGCATAAAATTGTGCTATTTCAAAAAATTGAGGCATAAAAAAAATTGAGGTAATTTTCAGTATGATCAATACCAGATCTGCAGATGCAACAATAATTTTTTAAAGAAATAAAATGAAACAAAGAATTTAAAAATCTATCATGTTCAGCTTTGACCTCTAAGTGTGACCTCGACCTTGGAGGTAGGGATGCAGCTGTTGTGCATGACAAATCCTCTTATTATTGTGACTATTTGTGCAAAGTATTTTCAAAAGCCCTTGAACTATGAAGTAGTTATAGATGGGACACAAAATGTACCCTATCACAGACTATGTTAATCTTTGACCTTTAAGTGTGACCTGAGAGGTAGGGACCTTTTGTTTTGCGCCTGACACAGGTGTTACGCATGACATATCATCTTATCATTGTGACTATTAGTGCGAAGTATCTTTAAAATCCGTTGATCTATGAAGAAGTTATGATCGGGACACAAAATATGCCAGACTCCGTTATTTTTTTTTACCTCTAAGTGTGACCGTAACCTTGGAGGTAGGTGACTGGGTTTTGTGCATAACACATCGAAACATTATTGTGAACAATTGTTGACCTTGAACGAGCAAGTGCGACCTTGACCCTGGAGATAGGGGTCTTATAAAAATCATTTGTGCCAAGCTATGTTAAATTCCTTTGATAAATGACAAAGTTATGGATCGGACACGATAGTGTGACGGACGAACAGACGGACGGAGCCTTTTTCTATATCCCCCTTTTTTCTTCGAAAAGGCGGGGGACAAAATCCACCTACAAAATTCTCTACTTGATATCTCACTGAAAACGGTCATGAGTAACTTGTCCTCATAAGAGAACCACTAATTATACAGCAGGAGGATTAGATGAACAGTTTTATAAATGACTCTTTCATGTGTGGAGAAGTTCCAATATTAGATTCAAATCATGAAGAATCTAATAGCAGGATTATTCTGCATGTTGCTGTCGCTACCTCATTAGGTGTACAGCAAGCCTGTTGTTATTAGTCCTTATACGATTTAATTGACTTCTTTTAAATCATTTCTAGAGCTTAAATGGAAATTATTTATTAAACTGGTAAGTAAAAGGTATGCACTGAGACCTGACAAGATATATTCCGGTACATACAGTAAATACATTCAGTGTTCTGCCTCCACAACAGAGAAGTATCATACTTTCTGTGTTTTATCTTTTATCTAAGTTTGTGATGCCTGTCATCATTCCGTAGCATAGGAAAGAGGAAGGCTTTTCAGGTAATGTGTAAGTCTGTTAATGATCTTAAAAATCTGACCTAGGGAAAGATCTGGTACTTCCAATTCATGCTAACACTGCTGCATTTAAGTTTGTTGGTCTCTTGTACAGTATATCATCCCGGGTTCGTTGCAAAAAGGGGGTCATATCAAGGAAATGACCTTCAACAAATGATAGCTTTATACTTCATTTACTGCGATGTATACTTCAGCTATTTGTATGGCGTTTATCTTTGAAAACAATAATTCCTCCACTTCATTAACTTTGGATAAAGTTAGGAATGTACAACCCACAGCTTTTGACACAACCTTCAGCCGTACCGGAAATTTTGAGTGACCATGTATATACTTGTTCTAACCTTTGCAGCGATGATCATGTTTGTTTAGGCAATGAACAGCCGTGTACCATAACAGTCTGGTCTTGCAAAGGGGTTCTACAAGGGCAAAACCATTTACCATGTCGGCAAATTTTGAGACAAATGATAATCGTGATGATGGTTGTCCATAGTGAAATTGAAAAAAATACACTAAGTGTTACATTGACTGTGGTTTGACATAAATAACAATATCTTTTTTAAATCACTGTGTCATATACGCATGGAAAGTTACTGTAAAAAATGACATTGAAAACCCTTTAAATTTTATCAAATTGAACCACTATATTTGTTTTGGTTTTGCTGAATTTTTACATTTATGTAAGCAAATGTATCAATGTTTATGCAAAATAAAAGAAGTTAGTTAACAAATAATGTTACTACTTGTTTCTACACTCTTAAATGCATGTACATGTTTGAACTTTCATAATGTTTTTCATAGGTTTTGAAATAAGATAAAGATTTATTTAAAAAATGTAAAAAAAATCAAAGTAAAGCATCTATCTTAATTAAAAAATAGATAAGATTTGTGTCAATATATACATTTTTTAACTGTATCTTCTATGATTTTTCACTTTATTCTTAAATTTGACGCTGCGTTGATTCAGAAAACTAGCAAAATAAGTTTAAAATTATGCAAGCTCTTTTAATATAATGCTAAAGGGCTGATACAATTTATAGTATCAATTCAAAGTATAGCTTAAAGAATATTTCTTGAAAATTTTTCCATGATGGCGGCCATCTTGGCGGCCATCTTGGATTTCTTTGATCGCCATCATTTTTGCCAATTTATGCCGGTGGTTTCATATAGTACAGACATTAATGAACATTTTGGTATATAACATTCATTGTTGCAATGACTGTCCAGGTTCATCATTTTCTAGGCCCTGATTGTCACCCTACCATAATGAACAATTTAGCTTCAGAAAAAAATTAAGACCTTGACACTGAGAGAATGATGACACGAATGTGCCGTTTTCATTTTCATTATACAGCTTAATGTTGGCACGGTATCTTTTGATGTAACAATTCATAAACTGTCATTGCAAAATAAAAAAAAATAAAAAAATATTATAAACCGTACCATAATGGTTTATATTACTTTAATTTATTTTTGTTTGTCATGGATATTTTAGCAAACAGGTGTTCTGTCATATACGGTTTCAATTGATGAGGGTCTACCATGAAATCAAGCTTTCTTTTAAAAACATGATATGCGTAAAGTATTACATTTAATATGTTATGAAGTGAAAATGATGTAAAGTACATTTACATTCTCTCTACTCTATATCTGATATTTATTTTATATATTGTCGCCATATTCACATGTGGTTTTAAACAAAATCTATTAAGAATGGATATCATGAAGATTTTAGCTTTGCTGTTGTTTTATTGTCACTGCATTAAAATGGAAGATCACCAAGAGGATCTTGAAGATCGGATACTTAAGGTTCAACGGCGAATAAATGCACTGAAAGAGGATTTACAGGCTATAGAGTCAAACGCTGAAATGACAGAGACTGACTTAGAAGAAAACAAAAACTCTCTCGAGCAGATGTTTTATAACTTAAACAAAATATTTGATGGGAACAAGTTGCAAGATATTAAAGATAGATTTAGTAAGCATTATTTGAAAAGAGAGCGAAGAAAGCTTTTTAAACTGCTTCAAGAGCCAAAAGAAAATGAAGCTGGAGAACAAGAAGATAACAAAAAGCAACAAGACCAAAAGGATTCAATGGATCAAATGACTGAAGATGTTGATCAGGATTTAAATACAACTTTGGAATTTGAAGGTATATATTCATAATCACTTGTTCAAGTCCTTTGATTTTTTGTGTATGTATTTTATATATACAGTTTTAACTGTATAGATATTTTCGTTTTTATTGTCGGTATCTATCTCTGATCTCCATTCTGATGTTTCTCTTTTGTTTGTTTTAACACATCTGCGAATGTTCCAAAATTTTAAATTTTACCATTTCATGTTAAATGTTGAATTCTGCTTAAGCCAGTGCTAGGGGGCTCGGAAGGTAGTTTGCACTTAACAGTACCGTCCATTAACAGGCTCAATCAAGCCGAGCCTGCAACATTTTCAATTTTGCCGTTTTGGCCTTTCTTTAGGGATTCTTATTTCTCTCTATTGTATTAAACCATTAATTCTTATTTCGTTAAATTTTATGTGTTACATATTTAACTGTGTTGAGCGGCGTATTTGTCATTATTTCTTTAAAATAGTTAAAACTATTTCAACCTGTCTACCGGTATTCCATTCAATAACTTTAGGTATCTATGTACTTAAGACCCAGTTACAAAAGAAGTACAATGTACACTGAATAAATCATTTTCTTGTCAGATTTTGGCGTTGTGTTTAGAGCGTCTAAGTTAACAAAGACAACTTTCGGAGAAGACACGGAAAACACGCAAAAGGAAACCATCATCTTCTCCAACATAGAATACAATGTTGGTGAAGGCTACAACTCAACTACAGGGTTATTCACAACGCCGAGGAAAGGCACATATCTGTTCACTGTCCAGTTTTATGTCAAGTATCATTACCGCATTGAGGCTGGGATATTTGTAAACGGTGAAAATACCATAGCAATTACATCTCTGTCTCCTGGAAATAACGCATGCTACAATTTTGAAGGAATAACAAACCTGGAAAAGGGAGATGTGGTACAAGTAACGCATTTGTACTCTAAAGGTGATCGTGGATTGGATAATGAGTTAAACTCAAACTTCTTTTCAGGTGCAATGATAAGATAACTGTAGATTCATCTCAAACATTATGAAATATTTGTGCCTGAAATATGACATTAAATATAACCTTTGCCTGCATATATTGAGTGTCATGCTCTTTGTACTTTATCTATATATATATTCTAATTTAGTAATGTTGTAACAAAATAAATTTATATCATTTGATCTTATTTGCATGTATATTTCAAGTCTTTCGAATGAACGCTGAGATTTAAAGATATTAATAATATGCATTTAGTTTAGACAACACCGTATATTAGGATTGTTTATCTCAATCTTGTGTACTTTTTATTGATATGTAATACAACCATTTATCACATACCCGTGCCGATTTTGCGACTCCGTAAAAATGATATCACACGGTCTTGCCTATATCTTGACGTGACATCATTTTCGTTATAAAAACAAGCGTAAATGTTAGCGTTTCACAATAGGTGCGTCAATTGAAAATGACTCTTTTCATGTTTAAAATTCTTAATTTTTGGGTTTGTGATAAATAATTTATTATATATTATATATAACGTGTTTAATAAAATTATGTTATGTTAGCCTCTGGCGAGCATAATATCACTTTATTCAACGAGTTCAATAAATTTAGTAATGAACCTACACTTATTTAATATCTTCTATAAGTATCATTTAACAGTTTCATGCATTATTATGTTTAAAAATATGCATTTGAATTTAATATGTAAAGAAATAAATGTCTATTTTATCTTTAACAAATGTATTTGTAACTTTAGGTACATAACTTTGTTTTTTTATTGCTAGATCCGACCTTCATTTGTTGTCGCCCTGTTGTCTTTTTATGAAAAACTATGTTAACTGTAATGATTGACAATTTAGTATCAAATGGTACTTTAATAGCCATAAGGAGTAAAACGATACATCTTTCGTTACATATTTCAGTTTTAATTTGTACAATTATGATATAGAATTAATCTGAATGTACCAAAAAGAAATCTAATCAGGCCAATAGACGTATCATTTGAGTATCATTTGATACAAAAAACTGTATATTCAGTAAGTCTGAAATGAAATATAGGGCAACAGACTGAAAATTCTTATGTTCATACTAGCTAAAATGATGATATGTTCGAATAATTTGTTATGTAATTTACCCAAAGCTGGAGAAAAAATGAGACTGTTCCAAAATGTTCAGAATGGAGTTTTGGACTGGACTCTTTTCAGATTGTAATTTTTTAACAGTATGGATCGAAAGAGTTTATGATCTGAGATTACACAGGAACTGAGAATGTTCTTTCTTCCAGTCCCCCTTATTAACCTGTTGAATTTAAGGGGAAAGGTAATTCCATTGTCTGAATTTATGTTTTGAACTTCATGATTTAAACTTCATTCAAGATTTCATCTTCTTCACGAATTATCATCGTGAATTCATGAAGTTGAAATCGCGAATTCACGGAGTAGAACGTGTATTTATGAAGTTGAATTTTGTGAAGTTGAAATCGTGAATTCGTGAAGTCAAGACGTTAAAATCTTGAATTCATTGAGATGAAATAGTGAATTCTGTATGTTGAGATAGTCAATAAATAAAGTTAAAATCTTGTATGTATGAAGTTAATATCGTGCATTCTGTATGTTGAAATCGTGAATTCATGAAGTTGAAATTGTAAATTCTTGAAGATAAAGGAGCGTTGAAAGACAATAATACTCATCGCTGCTGATGTAGCAACTGTTATAGAGACACAATCCCTTGTCAAGATCTTTAACACTGCTTAGTTTAACATGCATATAAATGTATTTCCTAATATTATACCTCATTTGCATGTGCCCTTCTATATTTAATATGACGTCATCCGGTCCATAAACCGCATACAGACAGGGGGCGGTCTATAATTCTTATTTTGACTGGATGACGTCATATTAAATATAGAAGGGCTTATGCAAACGAGGTATAATATTTTATTTTGTTGTTAAATAATTATTTTTACTGAATTTATTGTTGTTTTGTTTCGCATAAATTTATTACATGTTGATCAAAAGTCATGATTTATCTTTAATTTAATGTAAATTTTATTTATACAGTTTGTGAAAATCTTAAATTGCCTCTTTAATTTGATTAACTAAAATTGAATAACAAAAGTGGTGCATGATTTTTTTTGCTGTATCGCTTAAAAATAATAATAATAAATCCGACTAGGGTTTGAGATATTTCACACACTGAACAAATAATTATTTGAAAGCAAATAATAGTAAAAATGACAGCAACAACAGGGATGAAAGGATTTAGATTCGGGCCATATACCTTCCTCAGTCTGACCAAATAGTCCGTAAACTTGCATATTGCCCTCAAGGCCATGTTTTATTTGTTAATTAAAGACGTCGAAACATTCAGTTGATACTGTAGACGAAAGAATAAAACAAAGACCACAGTGTCCAGTAACATAATATATTGAACGTTCACATGCTGTGTTTGTTTTAAACAATTGGTTATAATTTGTTTTGAAAACACGTTCATTAGCTCACTATCTGCGAGTTTCTTCTTTAGAATGTAATCCTATGTAGTGAACGTGATAACTTATATTAATAAATAAAGGGATTCTACTTAGGCGTTTTTGCATGATAGGTCTGGATATATTTTCATGTGAAATGTACCATTTGAGGAAGGCATGAACTAATAACTTCCAAAAGTTCAGATCATTCGCTCAGTCCGTTCGTCCAGGTTTATTATTTCAATTGTGATAAATACACAAAAATAAAAAGCGTTTAAACGCTTTTAACTCAAACAAAAAAGAACTATAGATAGATAGCATAAAATGTGTTCGTCAGTTTAGTTTAGAGCATATAGAGAATATTCAGCGTTTTTTATGAATACAAAATTTATTTTCATCGAGTGGTATGAAAATAAACATTTCATCAGTGACAGTAGCCAAGAGTGAAATGTGATAATTTTCATACCACGGCATGAAAATAAATCCTGTATTTATAAAAAAAAACATGAATTTTCTGTTTATTATATAATATTTTTTTCTTTTTTTTGACCCCACAATTCGAAAAATCTTCCCCCTGTAATGTTGAACTGGCTGAATTTAGAAGAAAGACAAGACAGCAATAAAAATACGGAAAAATATGTTTTGCTGAAGTGAAATAAAAAGATTATTACTGTGAAAAATATGAATTTTATTTCATTGATATTTCTCAATATTTAATTTTATGAGTAAATAATAAATTTCTTTATTACACTTTGCATATATTTCCGTTTAAAGTGATTTAAGTGTTTTAAGTTGATCTTTGTAAGAAATTCATCTATTATTTTTAAGCTATTGGGCCTCAATTAAGTTCCCTTAAAATTGCGCGAAATATATTTGAAATAAAAATGATATTACACAATATGTACTATCAGGAAATTCTGATAATTCTGTTTAATTAAGTTGAGAAACATTTATACATTACTAAGAATAATTTATATTCATGAATAATGAAAAGAAATAAAATTCATCCGTTATAATGACATATAAGATTGAAGTAGAGCGAAATAGTATTCAACATCTAACAATGTCATTCATGGATGTGAATTCTGACAATTCAACAATTCTGAGTTTTAACAAGAATACAATCATTCAATTATATACGAGAAAATTAATATGAAAAGTGATGATCAAGACTATTTCTCTTGTAATGGTAAACGTTTTCAGTAACGTTGACATCGTCAACCGGCTGGATAAGACTTATCAGAAGAATTCCGTAAAAGTTATCAGAAAAACAAAATTACGAATGCATCTCCACCCCCACCCAACCTTCGGTATAAAACTTCCTCAGTAGTGTATTTACAGTCCTAAGACAATAAAACTTTTCTAATTTATTTTCTTAAATACAATAGACATTCTTTCGTAAGTCGTTGTTCAGCAAAGCATAAGAACAACAATATTTTCCAAATCGACTGTTATTGGAATTCCTCTGCTTTTAAACAAGAGCAAGTTTTGGTCTAAATTTGACTGGTCCTTGCCCTCTTGAGGCTAATGGCTGACGTTTTGGTTCTCAAAGAGATCCTCACGTTTAACTTGTTTCCAGCATGTCAGTACTTTGATTTTAAAATGTGTATATACATTTAGACGTATATTAAGAATCTTGATCACGGAAGTAACAACTGACCTAATAATTAATCTTAAATATATTATATTCCTACATTTTGTATATTGAAAATCCAAATTGACCATTTTTATATATAATTCTAAGCTATACGCACGTTAATTCCATAATTGTAAATACATAACTGCAACACCATTTAAGTTTAACACTCTAGGCTAAAAATTGATGAAATAATGAAAAAAATAACTATTATAAACTAGCGCATGTTATGACAAATGGAAGATCACATATATTTGGGAATTTTATGATGTAGCGCATGCACTTATATCCCAAGTCTACAAATCAACAGTTGTGGTCCATAATTCACTAAAATATAGCTTGTTTGAATGTAGTATAAACAAATTTCGGTAACAAATTACATTGAACAATTAACTTATCGAATATATACACCAGAAAATGTATTAAAGAATTTATTCGAGTCGACTTTGTAGCTATCTGATAATGAAGTCAAAATTTGTTTCACGTAAACGACATCACCCAGATTCAGGTTTGCAACAACTGCTAAGTTCTCACACGAATCTTCCCTTGGTGATAACCTGACCCAAGCAATACATTCGTCATTGACATAAATCCCTATATCTAAAGCTCTTCCTTTTAGAATATACAGTTGAACTGTGAAGTAATACGTCCCAGCTAGTGGTGTTACAAATAAGCCATTTCTGGGGTTATATCCATCTCCAGTGTTGGTTATTACATCAGGAAATATTATAGTTTCACCGTCAGAATATCGACGTTTATTCAATGTTACAGCCTTGAACAAAATTCTAGATTCTGAAACGTAAATGAGAAAAGTAGTATTTGTGAAAAAGGTTTTCTAGAAAAAGTAAGTCTGAGATACTGTTACAATTAACGAATAAATAGAATTTCGAAAATAGTTTTCGATCTTTATTTAACGCTGTCATTTATGTACGCGGATTGAAAAAATAATGATGTGTCTTTAATATAATAAAATGGTATACCTTCTGTATGAGCAATATCTTGATGCACGTTCGTCTCTACCTGGTGATTCATTCTTTCGAGACCATCATCAGTGTCAGTCAAATCTGTAGTCTGATTATCTACCATCCTTAAATTGATTTGTTCAATGCTATGAATCATTTCATTGAGTAAGTTGCTATCGTGTTTAAGTTCCTTTCTGACTTCTTTCATAATCCGTCTAAAATGTTTTCTTGTTTTCCTTTCAGTAGAATATTCCAATCGAGAAAAATCTCTCTTTAATAATTCCTCTGTGTCTTGCACTTTGTCTCCTGCTTTCTGTACTTTGACACCTGTTTCTCGAACTATGCTCTCCATTTCTGTGAGCATGTCCTCAAGAACTGTCAGTCTTATAGATATGTCATTATTATCATTTGAAGACCAAACGTAAGCACGATTCAAGACAATAAACGCAATAACGAGTTTAAATCTTACACCAATTTCCATCATTGTCCCATATAAAGAATGGGTGTGCTATTCTATTTGCACTTAGATGTTTTATAAATTACCAAAACTAAAGTTTGTAGTTTGAAATATTAGATATGTCATTTTTAAACTGGTCTGGTGGGCACACAAGTGTTTTGAAACCATATCCATCTCGTTCGTCATTAAGAGATTTGATTTCAGTTAATCCTGGTACAGAGTTGGATATACTTTTTATGTTATCAAAGTTAAAGCGACACTGGCACACTTCTTAGTTTATTAACAAATATTATTGAAATTTGTTATATATATGCATCATGATTCTAAACTTGTATAATTGAATATTTAATAATAATTTTATAATGCAAGAAACCTGACGATTTAAGTATTATTAATACATTATACTTAAAAATTATAACTATATTTAACTAACTAACTTGGATGTTTTACAAAAGAATGATGGATGATATTAAAAAATACTTAAATTATATAAAACTATTGTACATATAAACGAATAAGATTGTTTAATTCATTTAGCTGATATCACATTATGTTGTATAGTCACTGAACAAGCAATTTAATATGAGATAAACGCTTGTAGACAAAAGTACCTGGTCCGAGTCAGACCTTATTAAAATATAGACCATTATTTCTTTCTGTTTATTTTTCATGTTCTAGACAGTTTTTAATTGTATTCTAAACATTTATCAGTATAAACTGTTGGTCAATGACCAGAATGATTTTTTTGCAATATAAAGCTAATTTGCTTCAACTTGAGAGCGAAAAATGAGAATACAAGTTAACATGTTTGTGGAACATACTTCAAGCAACATTTACATAACAGAAAACATTACGTTAATGTCAGATTGAGGTATTTGTTATTGCTTTATCAGAAATAGTGTGTTAAGGTTAATTGCCCGGATATGATAACTGTCCGGATATGATAGCTGTCCAGATTTGATAATTGTCCGCATATGAACACTTGCCGGATATGATAACTGTCCGCATATGATAACTGTGTGGATATGATAACTGTCCGGATATGATAATTGTCCGGATATGATAACTTTCCGCATATGATAACTGTCCAGATTTGATAATTCTCCGCACATGATAACTGTCCGGATATGATAACTGTCTGCATATGATAACTGTATGGATATGATAACTGTCCGCATGTGATAACTGTCCGGATATGATAACTGTCCAGATTTGATAATTGTCCGCATATGATAACTGTCCGGATATGATAACTGTCTGCATATGATAACTGTACAGATATGATAATTGTCCGGATATGATAACTGTCCGCATATGATTACTGTCCAGATTTGATAATTGTCCAGATTTGATAATTGTCCGCATGTGATAACTGTCCGGATATAATAATTGTCCGGATATGATAACTATCCGGATATGATAACTTTCCGGATTTGATAACTTTCCCGATTTGATGATTGTCCAGATATGGTAACTGTCCGCATATGATAACCTATGAACAAAATTGGTGATCTCGGATCATACCGCAAGCTCATATTGAAGTATTGACCAATATGTTTAGATATGTATTTAGTTTATAAATCAACATAAACAATATGAAATTCGATTTTAGGAAAATAAAATATTATCCGAAAACTTAAACGAGTCACTTTAATAAGAAAATAAGATAATGCACTGTCGACATTTTATATCACGATTCGTATAAACAGCAGCGTATATATTTACAAAGTAGGTATTATGACCAGCTGTGCTGATCTGTTTTATTCAAAATACCACCGACTTGAAATTTCAAACTGTAATAGATACGTTAAGTTTAATGTTTTAATTTTTACGGACCACAGAAAGGTATCCGTACATAAAGTAGCACAAGTAAAGATAATATTTCTTTGATAGCAAAATAACATCTTAACATTTATTGATATTTATCAAGATATTTTTATTATTTAGACTTGTGTTCCTGTTTCTTTTTAAATTCAAAATGGTGTTTTAACAATTTTGTAAAACGTTTTAGGCGAACTGAAGTTACAATATTTTGGAATTCATATTTTATTAGCAAAAAAATCTATGCACCGTAAGTCTTTTTAAAAAGTTACAGAGTTATATGAAATTTCTTAGGTGTAGTTGGCTCTTGGTGTTTTGTACACAATATTGTTGAGTTTGTGATGACTCCTATTTAAATAAAAATATTTAACGTAAACTATTTTACTCACACACTGTGTTTTAGTGTATTAATTAGTAATAATTTTAAAAACAAATATTCTATTCATAATTCCATTTATATTTTGTAATAATTTAATTTATAATGATATTTTTTTTAAAAATACTTTATAAAATCGATCATCCATCAACCTGTATTCAATGAAATTTACAAGATTCTTATAATTCTTACGACTGTATTAATATCTGGTATATTATTTGATTCCTTGCCCTTTCAAAGCAATGATTGCATTTTCAACTTGTAGCAAGGCTGACCCGTGCACAGGTGCCATATCATGGGGTAAATGTGATCCTGCGCATTCCGGACCTTGGGTTTCTTTGTAATGTAGTTATTAACTACAGCATTTAGAACATGGTCACAGTAGTATGTTCCTGTGACACTACCCCTCTCAGACATAGCGACACGGGCCACTATTCCATCACTGGCAAACAATAGAGCCTAGAGAACCCTTTAAATGCTCCTGCTACATAGAGCAACATTTGGGCAATCCCTGCTTTTTTCCTACCCACGTTTTGTTACTGTGTTTATTGTCGGGTCAAAACAGATTAAAGCCACGTGTCATCATCACCTGTGACGATTTTTTTTCTCTCATGCATCTAGGCCTAGTTTCCATCTTTGAACATAGTCAATATGGTCGAGGCTTTTTAACCTGCTCCCTTTTCTGGTCAGAAGTTAGCAAATGTGGGATCTAACGGGCGCACACTTTCCTTAACTTTATCTTTTCTTTCAAGATGGACACGTATGATGCACTAAGGCCCGATATGTCACATATGTCCTCCATGGTTTTTCAACTATTGCTTTGATAGTGCTGATGTCATTTTCAGAGGTAGCGGAAATTGGCCACCCTGGACGGGGATCATCCTTAAAGGCCCTGTCACATTAGACTGCGCTATCACTGCGTTTGCACATCGTTGTTAAATTAAACAGAGCGCCGTGAGATTGCAAGAAAAATCTGATATTTTTGATGACATGGAGACATCACGGCGTCTTCATGGCGTCCTAAAGGCAATCATGGCGTTGCTACAGAGCTTTCACGGCGTTGCAATGCGTTCTTACGGCGTTTTCGTTGGCGATTGTCTGCGTTTCGATTGCGCTTCTACTGCGTTCTTTGCGCTTCCACTGCGCTTTCACAGCGCTCACACGGCGCTCTTGCGGTGCTCACTCTGTGCTGAAATCGTGCTTCACAAACAAGCGAATACTCATTCTGAAAAGTTGTGTATCTGCTGCACCTGCATGCAAACAAGCAATATTCAAGCTTGCTGCCGTTTATCAGCAATGATTAAAAAGATATTCACGTTCTATATATACAGTGAAAACACTGCATTAAGACCACCAAATGGACTGCAGTAAAGTGGTCTCGATTGCGGTTAGTCTTAATTATGGATATAATTAATTATCAAGCATATCTATTTTATAACCACTCTATTTTAATTATTACTAGTATGTATAAACATGTTGAAACAATTATATTTTAACCTTCAAATATTACTATATACTAATGTTATAATATTTATTAAACCTAATTAGAACATTAATCTGATGATATTTAATGTATAAATTATATTTCATATGTCTTGTTTCATGTACATACTTCACCTTTTAATTAAGATATTAATTCGTCACAAAAATATGCAGAAAGTAACTTAATAATAAACCAATCTGAAGTTTATTGTCTTACCTTTATACAATATTCTAATCATAACAGTTTTAACATATTCTTTGAACTGTCATGCTTTAGAGAATTCAAGCAAATGAATAACAAAAAACTTAAATTTCCGTTCTTTTAAAAAATGGGTCTAAATAGAGGGTTGGTCTTAATTCTGGGGTGGTCTTAAGAAGGGAATCTACTGCACAGTATTCTGCAATTTCAGATGAACGCAGTAGAATCGTCTTGAGTGCGCAATGGTTGCCGTGACAGTGCAGTAGAGTCGCAGTTAGAGCGTTTTAGTAAAAATAAAGCTCCGTAAAAGCGCCGTACACACGCAGTTTAAACGCGATAGAGACGACACACAATCTCCGTACAAGCGCCGTGGCTAATTACGGCGTTTATTCGGCGATCCTTCTGCGCTTTCACGGCGCTCCTCATGCGTTGTAGGAGATGTTACTGGGTTGCTACGGCGTCTTTACTTGCGATACCACAGCGCTCTTATTAGAACGCCGAGTGACAGCGTTTGTTTTGAGTATGCTCAAAATGTGCGCCGTCGGTCTGCGTCCTATGCGATGCCACTGCGATGCCATGACGATGTGGCGGCGATGTTTGCGATCCTACTGCGCTCACATCGGCGTTCTGAATTTTCTTTGGACGCCGTGAGAATGCCGCCTAAGTGTGAAAAGGGTTTAATATTAGTTATACTTTCCTTAAACTTTGTCACTCTCCTGTTAATTTTACGATATGGAAGGGCATTGCATTTTCTCCATAAACTGAATCTAGATTTTTTTATATAATTCTGATACTTCCAATAACTCAAAAACATTGCAATAAGCTCTTTGCTCCTCTCTCAAATCACAATGCAACTCAGCCATGTTTACAACCAGTATACAAAACCACATGCATTTAATTTACCTGCTAACATTTTATTGCACATGCAAATCTTGCTAAAAGAGACTGTTAGTTAGAAAAATCAACAATCTTTTGAAAGGTATATTATACATGTACTTTCACGTGCAAATCATGGTTTAATTGATTTGTTGTCACTAATTATTTGACCATTTGATCCATGCAGTAGATACAGCAAAACTTCTACAGGTAATCGTATATAAAATATGTATCCTTTCTTAATGTAAGCTTATTTCAAGATATTTGATGTGCAGCTATAAATTCTAATAATTTAATTAAATGAATTGTCAGAAAAATATGTGTACTAAAAGCTTTTATAAACAAACCTTATTCAATCATCAATATGAATAAAAAAATATCAATCTTTCAAGCAGTAACAGAAAAACTGGTGTATGGTGTAAAATGTTGCTTCAAGTAAATTAAGTTGCTTCAAGTAAATTAAGAAAATCCATGAATTATTAGAACACAAGACAAAATATGATCTGACATAATGATGATACCAAAGATAAGAGTAGTGCTTTGAATAAATATAAAAACAATGGAC